ATTTTTTTTGGGGGGGGGGGGGGAAAAAATTTTTATAAAAAAAAAAAACACCGCGCCTTTAAAAACCCCCCCCCCAAAAAAAAAAAAAAAAAATTAAAAAAAAGGGGGTTTTTAAAAGGCAAAAACCTTTTTGGGGGGGGGGTAAAAATTAAAATAAACCCAAAATTAAAAATTAAAATTAAACCCCAAATTTTTGGGTGTTTTTTTTTTTTTTGAAAACCCCCCTTAATAAAAAAAAAAAAAAAAAAAATGGGGAGGGGGGAAATATAAATAAAAATAAAAATTTAGGGATACGGTAATACAATATTATAAATTGATGATAATCTTTTTTAAGATACTAAATTAGTTTTTTTTTTTTTTATTATTTTATTTTTTCTTTTAAAATTTATCAATCTTTTTTTTTTTTTATTTTATATTTTATAGAAAAAAAAAAATAATTTAAAAAAAATAATTTAAAAAAAAAAAATAATTTAAAAAATAAATAAAATAAAATAATTTTAAAAAAAAAAACTCTTTAAAGATCTCACGATTGATTCTCTTAGAGTTGGTGAGTTGGTGAGTTGGATGGGTGAATGGGTTTATAAAATGAAAAAAAAAAAAAAAAAAAAACCATCATCATTCTATTATTTTTATTCAAAAATTCAATTATTTAATTTATTTAATTTAATTTAATTTATTTTTATATTTAATAGAGCTCGAGCTTAACCTTTCCATCATCTCTCACACACATATAACAACAATCATGTTGATTGGAATAAATATGAAATACAAAATAATGAATTAAAAATAAAAAAAAAAGAAAAAAGTAAAGAAAAATTATAATAATTGAATTAAACAACCCCCTCAGCTTTACTACTACTACTACCACCATACCAAAATTCAGTTAAATAACAATAACAATAAAAATAAAGTTACTTCTTTAATCCTTTAATTTAAATTATTTAATAAACCACGATTTTAAATAAATGTTAAAAATAGACCAGAAAAGAAATCTGTATTTATCTGAAACAAAGAGAAAAAAATCATGATTTAATTTTTTTAATTAATCAACCCATTAAATGATTCAATTATTATTTAATCATTAGTAGATCATAAATTAAATTAAATTAAAAATGAAAATGAAAATAAAAATAAAATTAAAAATAAAAATAAAAATTTAATAATTAAAATTAAAATAAATAAACAAAAATGTGACACCCCACATCACACTACCCACGGGGATTTATTTTATTATTGTAATGATTCGGCTGTGTGAATTAATTATTTATTTTTTTTTTTTTTTGATTTTGTACAATTGAAGTTCAAACTATAAAATCATTAAGCCTAATTTTTAAATACTCTTTCCAAATCTCTTGGGGAGGTTTGATTCCATTTTTAAACTTTACATCATAACAATCCCCATTATTATTATAACAAATTAATTTGTTTATGTAAATATTAAATATTATTGGGCCATTAATTTATTTTTATTTTATTTTTTTTCCAAAAAAGCCCCAAAATATAAAATAAATAAATTAATATTATATAACAAATAAAATTATAGAAAAAGAAATAATGATTATTTATTATTATTTATTTGATTTGTTGATAAGTTTTTTTTTTGATGGGTCCAACGGATTTTTCCTCAATAATATTATTATAATTTTGAAAAAAATATATAAAAAAAAAAAAACAAAAAAAAAAAAAATCTTTTTTTTTTTTAATTTTTTTTTTATTTTTTTTTAATAATTTTTAGAGTGTGGTATACAATTTTATTTTATTTTATTTTTTGTTTATTTTTATTTATAAATACAAAAATAATAAAATAATAAAATAATAAAATTAAAATAAAACACAAAAAGAGAATTTGTTACATTTGAAACAATTTTTTTTTATATTTTTTTTTAACAAAAAAATCTTTGTGCTTTTAAAAAAAATAGTATTATTTTAATATTAATAATTGTTACTGTTATTATTAAATAATAGTCACACACAAATTTATAATTCATTTTTTATAAATAGTTTGTTAATTTACAAAAATAATTTAAAATAATTTTTAGTTTGTAAAAATAAAAGAAATCAAAAATATCAATATATATACATATATTTTTAATTATATCAATAAAATTAATCAAATATAAAACTTCAATATAGAAATAAAATAAATAAATAAAAAAATCACGCATATATAATATATATATTATATATATAATATAATATATAAAAAAACTCCACTAGTATTATTATTATTATTATTATTATATAATAACTATTATGTCATATACATTATTACCAACAAATAGCACCTCTCCACCATCTCCAATATCCGAATATAAAAATAATAATAATAGTAATAATAGTAATAATAGTAATAAAATGACAGTAGTTTCAACAGGTATAATATTAAATAATAACTCATCATTAATAAATACACCAAAAAAACATCAACCGACAAGAGCAAGACAATTATTTTCATTTTCAGAATTGGCTGGATCAGATTTAACATTATTATTGGAGAGTGATATTTTATTAAGAATTTTTTCAAATTTAGAGTATCAAGAGCTATTTGTAGTGAAAAGAGTATGTTCAAGATGGAAACCACTTTGTGAAAGTAAATCATTATATCAAGATTTACACATGCAGTCATTTATTGTAAATAGTAGAATTTTACCCATTTCAATAGTTAAAAATTTTTTGCAATCTTTACTTATGGATCAAGATGAATTAGATGCATTAAAAGCGGTTTGCAGAGAAATGCCAAGAATAACATTTTCAAATCAACAGGATAATTATGATAGCGTTAGCAGTATAGATTTAAATAGTTTAGATATAAATAGTAATATAGTAACAGCAACAGCAGCAACAACAACTACAACCGGTACCAATAATAATACAGCAACTACGACAACAACTACCTCAACGACATCTACAACTTTTTTGCAACCCACAACATCAAATGGCGCCAGTGGCAGTACTACACCCCCAATTGCAATTAGAAATTCGATAGCTACAGCATTTGCAGCAACAACATCATCTTTTAAATCATTTATAAATAATAGTGCAAACAGTTTAAATACCAGTGGCAGCTCATTAAGTTTACCACCATCACCAAATCTAAGTCATCAACAAATACCAATCTCTATAAATAATGGCCACAACAGAGTATCATCTTTAGACGATACATTTTCAGTATCACCAACATCAAGCAACGGTTCATCGATCGATGGTTCATTAACACCAACATCACATAGAAGAGGACAATCAGGAACACCCTTGAATGAAAAAGAACAAAAGAAAAAAGATAAATCTAGAAAGGAAAGAGAGAAGCGTATGGAGGAATCATTAAAAAGCTGGAATGAGGATATGATACCCAATTGGGAAAAAAGAAAAGGCACTAAAAAGTTAAGAGATTTGGTACTTCAAGGCATTCCATCATTAGTAAGAAGTAAAGTTTGGCCACTATTGATTGGCAACGATTTAAACATCACACCAGAGCTATTCAGTATATTTGGTTTGCGTGCAGAGAGAGCAAAACAAAAGTCAGAAGCAAACTCACTTGGTAGAGAAGGTTCAGTCAGTTTAATACACTTGGATTTACCACGTACATTTCCAATGTTATCCATTTTTCAAGATGAAGGCCCACTTCACCAATCATTGGCAAATGTACTAGAGGCATACGTTTGCTATAGACCCGATGTTGGATATGTTCAAGGCATGTCTTATTTAGCAGCTGTATTTTTATTAATTTTAGACGAATTCACTTCATTTGTTTGCCTCAGTAACTTTTTAAACAACCCTTGTTACATGGCATTCTACACAATGAACCTTTCTCAAATGGAATTATATATGAAAGCGATGGATCAACTAATGGCTCTTCATGTTCCAAAAATTCAAAAGCATCTTAAAGAATTAGGTATTCAGCCAGATATCTTTATGATCGATTGGGTATTAACTGTATTTTCAAAAGCTTTACCATTGGATATTGCATCTCACGTTTGGGATACCATATTTTTAGATGGAGAATCTGTAATTTTTCAAACAGCTTTGGGAATTTTAAAAATGTATAGTAAAGAATTAGAAAATAGCGACTTTGATGTTTGCATGACCTTGCTAACTCATTTACCACCAAATATTGACGAAGATGAATTATTCCAACATATAAATTCTTTTACAATTAATCAAAAAATTTTTAATAAATTAGTAACAAATAAAAAATAATAAATAATAAATAATTAATGAATAATTAATAAATAATTAATTAACAATGAATAAATTATAAATAACTAAATAATAAAAAATAGTAAAATAATATTAACTAATAACAATAGTAAAGTTAATATTTAAAAAATAAAGCCAAATTAATATAATTATATATTAATACAAAATTTATAAATAATTTTAATTTTCTTTTAGATCGATTTAGTTTTATTTTTTATATTTTTTAAAAAAACCTGTAATTTCTTTACCTTTAACTACATTTAACCCACTACTAAAAACACTTCATGAACCGCACTTGAACAATTATTTGAAGAACTACTTGAGTCACCATTTGAAGCACTTCTCGAGCCTATATTTGAAGCACTATTGTTTGAGGTACCATTTGAAATACTACTAGAACCACCATTTGAAACGATTTTTGAAGCACCACTTGAAGCACCACTTGAAGCACCACTTGAAGCACCACTTGAAGCACTATTTGGTAGTTCAATTGCAGGTGCTTCTTTTGTTTTTTATATAGATTACTAATGTTGATGAAATTATAAAACTGTTTATTAATAATTTATTTAATTATAATTTGGTTCCAGATCTAACATCTTTAATTTAATGAACCAAATTATAATTAAATAAATTATTAATAATAAGTAGCATTTTTTGACAAATTCTTTGCAATATCTATCCCAATTATTAGTATTTGCTAATTGGGATAAAGTTCCACAATTTGAAAGGATGAAGTTTTTATTATTTCTGAGCCATGCAATAATAACTCCTCTAATTTCTGCACTATGATTCAAGTCACCGAAAATTTGGTCATTATTATCTTTATCAAAAGATAAAGCATGCATCTGACAATTTCCATCGCTTGGGAATATCCTTACTGTTCTCCAAACGATCATCTAAACTGATTAAAGTTGCATTTTCGGGTTGAGGAGATAGTCGTTTGATACTGGCTCTACACGAATTGATATCCATTGGTTGATAATATTGACCTACCATAATAAATATGTGAATTTATTTTTAGAGTTGATTTTTGTATTTATTTAATTACTTTATATAATTCATTATTGATTAAGAAACCAATATATAACAATCTATGGTTTATTGGGATGGATTTTCAGCTAATATTTTCTTAAAGTACTATTAAAAATTAAAGATTAGTATAATTTTTAAATATTAATGAATAAAATAAAATAAAATAAAGTAAATAAAACTTACAGTTCTTAGTTCATCTTTAGTGACACATTTGTCTTTACCTACACCCAATGAGCCGAAGACACTGTTGGTCATTCCATCACAACGATATTCACCGACATCTGGGTCTTTTCTGTAGACACTACACATTTCATCCCAAGAGATTTTACCATCCTATTTTCAAATATAAAACTTTAGTAAACTTATAAAAAAATGAGAATATAAATTTGAGAGCCTACCTTGTTTCCATCATAATCATCTAATGCCTTTTGAATGGATCTTACAATAATGGCCTCAGTTTTTTTGGCAGCCATTACTAATTTGTGAGTATCGACTTCTTCAATAGAAATAAATTTATCATTGTTTTCATCCAAAGATGTAAATATTGCTGTTGCAACAAAGTTTGGATCTTTACATTGTTTTACCTCTGTTAAATATTTAACAATTTGATCCCTTGAAAGTTTTGAATTGTTATAATTACGTACAAGCATGTTCTATAAAAAAAAAAAGATTAAAAATTTTTATTAGTAAATTTTAATAAGTAAATTTTAATATTATAATGATAATCATTATAAAAAAAATATTTACAAAATCTTCTACAATTTCATCTGTGTATTTAGACATTTTTAATTTTTAATTCTATTATAAATTATATATTTTGATGAATGAATTAAAAAAAAAAAAAGTTTAAATAAAAAAAAAAATAAAGAAGTTTAATTTTTATTTTTAGGAAAGTCACAAATTCCCACACTGTTTTCTAAAATTAATATCACACACTCCTAAATTATAAAAAAAATATAACCTTACCAAATTAGTTTTCTTTTTTAAATAGCATCATAATGATTTTTTTAATATGATGGGAGGTTTGTTTTATTTTTTTATTAGAAAAACTGTTTTTTAAAAGTGTTTAATTATATTTTTAGACTTTAAAATTGGATTGGTTTTTTAATAATAATGTGAAAATTACTAACTTCAAAAATTTTTTTTTTTTCTCCCAATCAATATTTTTATAAAAAAAATTTTGAAAAAAATTTTTTTTTTTTTTTGGAATGTGAATTTTACAAAATTTTTGACCCCCCATTTTCAAAAAGGTTTTGATATTTTTTTTTATTGAGATAGAAAAAAGATAAAAAAAGGATTATTATTATTTTTATTAACCCTTGAAGTGAAGAGATTCTTCTTTTTATTATCTTACAAAATATTTATTTTTTAATTCTTTTTTTTATTTTTTTTTTTAAAAAATGGTTTTCCTAACAACCCCTTATCCAATACAAATTATGATAAAATCAACTCAAAAGATTCTAATACATTATTTTCCAAAAGGATGGGTCTCCAAAAAATATTTATTAAAATATCTTTTATATATTTAAGAAAAATATAATTTATTTTTTTTTAATTTTTGTTAAAATTTTTTTTAAAATTTTTTTTTGCATAATAAATTTTTTTATTTTAATAATTTTATAATAACATCAATTTTATTATTTTTTATCCCTAAATAACAAAAAAATACAAATTTACACGATATTTTATGATTTCAATTAGTATACTAATTTGTTGTTTCAAACCATAAACTATTATTGAAAAAACAAAATAAAAAACAATCTGGATATTTGTCAGAAAAGTATTTGCTAGAATAAAAAGATTTTCAATGACAGGCAATACTTTAAGATATAAATTAAATAGTCATACTGTTCAACTTAAAAGGAAAGGAGAAAAAATTTATTTGATGGTTTTTAAATTTAAATCACAAAATAGATCCTATTATTGTTTTTGATAATTTAAAAATATTTTTATTTTTCTTAAAAATTTAATTAAAACTGTTAAATTAATTAGAAGTTTTCATTTAGATAATATGAATCAATGCTATGTACAGTTGCAATTTAGGGGTTAGAAATAATAACATCGATTACAATGAATAATTATATTAAAATTATTGAAAAAAAATTGTAGATACTCCCTCACATAATGGATGCAATTTATAGCACATGGAGGATATACTAAATATTAATTAATAATAATTATATCTAATTGTAAAAAAATAAAAATAAAATTTTTGAAAAAAAGGAATAAATTATGTGACAATATTTTTTTTTTATTTATTTTAATTTTTAATATCTTGTAATATTATTTATATAAGGGGTCCTTATATAAATATTAAATATGACCTATTAATTCAATAATAATCGTTTTCATCTTAATAAAGTGAAATTATATGGCCATTAATGCTTACATTTCAAACTTTCAAATGTAATTGCTATGCAGGCAATGGAATTAACTTCTTATTGTGTTAATTAAAACTTGAACATTAAAATTCTTATAAAAATATTATGACATATCCCATCTGATTTAAATTTAAATTTATAAATTTTCTCAAAAAACTTTAATTTTTGAAAAATAGCATCCAAATATTTCTTTTTTGAATGGTTACATCCATCTTCATAAATTTTTAAATTAAAATTTTCAAATTTGATTTATAAAAAGTTTTTAAGTTTTAACAAATATTTCGGAACCAATTACTGGAAAAAGAATTTGAGCTTCAAAGGGAATTCCCGAAACTACTTATAGTATAGTTTTCTAATCTAAACCGACTCGAACAAATCATCGAATATTTGAATGAATAAATAAAAAAAAATAAAAAAATTCGTCTTAATAAATTTTTTTTATGCACAAAAAAAAGTATTTCTATCATTTTGGATTTTTTAAAATTTTTTTTTTTCTTTTCAAAACCAACACATATCTATTTACATTCTCAGTTTTTTATTTTTTTTTATTCGATTTGTATTCTTCCCGACTCGTGATTAAAAAAAGATTAAAGAAAATTATAATTTTTGAACCCAAAAAAGGAATTAAATTTTTTTTTTTTATTTAATTTACATTATAAAAATAAAATAAAAATCTCTTTAATTTTTATTCAAAAAATCGATTTACAATATTTTTTAATTATTTTTAGCATACAAATAATAAAAATATTTGGTGAACTAAAAAAAAAATAAAAATGATATATAAGTTTTTGTCAATATTTAAAAAAAAAAATATTAACAATTTTCGCAATCATTAATATTATATCGTTTTTATTTTTAGGATGCTCTGGTTTTTTTAGATTTACTATTATTCGGAATAATGTTTGGAGCATTTTGATTTTGATTGTTTGAAATTGGGTTAGGTTGTGAAAGATTATTATAATTTCTTTTTAGATTTTGAACCTGTTGCTGTTGTTGTAAAATATGTTGTTGTTGTAATAGTTGTTGCTGTTGCAGTAATTGTTGTTGTTGATTTAAATATAATTGTTGTTGCTGTAGAGTTGGTGGTAAAGTTGGTTGTATTGGTTGTGATAATGTTTGTTGTATTGGTGGCTTATGTTGTTTATTACTACTTTTGTTTTGACTTTGATATTGAGATATTTGATTTTTTCTTTGAGTTAAAGTTGTTGATCAATTGGTTCGTTTACTACCACCACTATTTTTTGAAGGAAAAGTTGATTTAATATAGGTGAGTTCTTTTCTTTCTATTTTAATGCCACCATAAATCGAGGGAGAAAGAGGAGTTTCAGAATAATCTTCTAAAAGAGTCCAAGGATCCATTTGTGTGAATGTTGATTTAAGATCTTGAATGTTCGAAACTAATTGTGGGGTTTGAATAGATTGCACTGGTTGGGTAGAGCTTAGAGGTGGGGTGGAAGGTTGAGCAGAACCCAATGGTGGGGTAAAAGTGTTTAAATTAGCAGAGCTACTGGTGCTACTAACATTGCAAGCTATTAAACATGCTGGATGTATGATTGTAAATGGTGGAGGAGATGGGTTTGAAGTTAGGAATGATAATTGTTTCTCTAATTTGTTTTGAAGGGTCAATGGGAAATTAGATTTAATTTTTTGATATAGCTCATGTAATTTCTTTTTAATTGAATTCTTTTGATCATTCTGTTGTTGCTGTTGAGGTGGAGGGAGAGGAGTGGGTTGTTCAAATTTATCTGAAATTAATAAATCTAAAATTGTTAAAATTGGGTCAAACAAATTGAATTCATCTTCTGATTGTATAATGAATTTTGATAATAGATTTAATAATAAAATTGAAACCTCTTCCAATTTTTGGTTTGATGATTTTACAATTGATTTTGTAATTTTGATTTGGGTTATTAAAAATGTGATTCTTACAACGATTGATTGGATAATAGTTTCGGATAATGAATGTTCAAGATTAATTACATCGAACGGTTTTGAGAATTGGAAAAATAGTGAAAGTTGTTTGAAAATTGAAAGGATAAAGCAGCTGACGATATTACTAGAGTCCTCAAAGGTAGATAGTATATGAATGATTATATCTGTAAAAGATTCTTGAAACATTAGGTTATCTAAACGTTTAAGTTCATCTGATGAGTCACTAGTAGTATTTGATTGTGGACGATTTAAAATGTATGAATACTTTTGTGGCTGTTGTTTTAATAAATTATTGATTGGTAAATTTTGTTTAATATGATTGATTAGTGGTAAATTTACTAATGGTTGGTCAAAGCTAGACTCTTGATATTGTGACTCTAAAATCGATACGGTTATTTTTATCAGTTCATTTCTGACTTGAGGGAATAATAAAAATATATCCTCATAGATAAATACTCTTTCCCAACCTCTATTCTCTTCAAAATGTAATAATATAAATTGAGTTATAATTGATTCTGGTGAAAAAGTTTCACAATTATTACTTGGTGATGTAATTATGTTATTGGTTGGTGTGGTATTACCATTGGCTTTACTATTATTGTTTGAATTTAATAAATCCGTTGATTGTAATAGTGGTGATTGATTAGGGGATTTAACAGGTGGAGTTGTTGACATTGGTGTTGAAGAGTTAGTATTTGTAGTGGTTGCTGTTGTAGTAGTTGATGGTGACTGTATCATTGTGAGCAAAGGTAAGGTTTTCCATTCATCTAATAAAAGTTTTAAACCGATATATGACAAATAAATATTCCAATAGCAGTTTGAGGAATTTGTAAGTGTGGAGTCTATTACTTTGAAAGAATAGTTTAAACAATTCTCTAATTTTAATGGTTCATATTCAATGATAATTCTTGAATCCTGTTGTTCTTGCTTCATTTCTTCCTCTTCCTGTTGTTGGTGTCTAACATTCCCTAAAATTAAATAAAATAAATATCTGGTTTCGATTGGATTCAAATTGAGCTCTTTAATTTTTTCAATTGAGTTTTCTGAAAGGAATATGAATTTTGAATCTGGATCGGTTAAAATCGAACAAATATTTTGAAATGTTTTTAAATGTGTACTACTATTGGATGGATTTGACAATGGTTCGTAGTGATTATAAAGCTTACAGAATGTTTGGAATATTTCTAAGTATGTGGAAACCTTAGATTTGTTCATCATCTTTAATCTTATACTGAGATGATCGATGGATGCTTTAATTTTATTATTATCACCTTGACTATCACATAGGACCATACTACTAAGATAGGTAATATCATTACAGAGTAATATTTGGACGGCTCTAATCAAAAACAAAACGTTGGCATTGCTCTCTACTACCTGGTTTGATTGTAATAATGGCAAGATTGAGTAAACTACAATTGAATAGATATCACAGTACTGATTTAAAACCAAGGAGATTAAAAATACAATAATCTTAAGGAAACCCTTATCGTCTTCGTTACCGATGGAGCCGTTATCGAGGTTAACTTGAAGATAATTCTTTAGTTCGTTTAAAAACAATTCTTTTTCATTTGTGATTGAAAATGGTATAACAATTGAAAACTGACATATGATTTGTGATAGTACCATTTGTTGCTTTATAAATAAAAGGAAATTATTTTCATTTAAATTAAAATTTAAAATTGTATTTAATAATTCTAAATATAATTCTTTGTGATACTGTTGAAGGCTATCAGTATATTTAACTTTTAGTTCATTTAAATAGCTATTTATATTATCATTTGAGTTTAATTGATCATCTAACCATTTTAATTGCTCTTCAATTGTTTCTTGTTCTTTTTCTTGTTGCTCTATATTATTATTTAATGCTTTATTAATAATTTCTTTACAATCATTATTAATTTCATTTTTGTCAATATTATTATTTATATTATTTATATTATTCTAAAAAAAACAATTTATATTAGTATAATTTTTACTTTTTATTATTATTTTAATATAAATACTTACAAAATCTTTTTTAAATTTACAGTTAATATTACTTCTTTTTAACCAGGTTGAAACTGATTTAATAGATTGATATTTTTTTATTATATGGTACAAATAAGATTCTACATAAGTTTTTCCGCATATATTATTATTATTATTACCCTCAGAATCAATAGCCATTGATTCTTGAGTTTCTTTCATTTTTTGATCATCATCCTCATCATTGTCTTCATCTTCTCCATCGTCATCTTCTTGGTCGCTTTGTTCATCTGCGTCGTCTTCCATTTCATCACCATCACGATTTTTGAAATCATCATCATCACCTTTGGTACTGCTTTTAACAACCTTCTTATAAATTGTATCTAGTAATGTTATAAATTGGTCTGATGTTATAAATGATAACTCTAATCTATAGGTTGTATAAAATATAAAACTTTGGAGATCTTTTGCTAAATTCCAATGATTCCAGAATACTAATAAGCATTGTAAAATTGAATGATAATTTGAAATTGATTCCATCAATAAAAAGATTTTTTCAATATATGGTTTTGTTATTGGGAATGAAAATCGTCTAAAGCCTTTGGTTAAATTAATGTTATTTGATAATCTAAAGTAATTAAAAATTAAAATATTAAATTAGTTTACATAAAATATTATTATATTAATTATTATAATTAACTTACTCGTTATTATTTAAATTATTATTATTAAAATTTAATCTAATGCAGAGTGACAACCATTCAGTTAAAGATATTTGACTATAATATGATAAAGATCTTAACTTTATCAATATTTTATCTAATGTATTATTGAAATCTAAATTGTATATATCCAAAACAAAACTTTTTATCGAATTTCTAACCTGCTCCATATTATTAATTTCTTCTTGAGACTTTGAAGCATTTGGGAACAATATGGTTCTTCTTTGGTTTCTTTGTTGGTGAATTTCAAATGATGGGAAATCGTTCTTATTAAAAATTGGGAATTCTCTTAAATAAATTTTATGATATTGATTGTTTTTATTATTACTACTATTATCTGTGTGTTGATTGATTCCATTATAATTTTTTGATGATAAATAATCAGTTTCCTCTAAAATACCCCTTGAAATTATATATCTTGCATATGAATTTTGTGAAAAAATTTCATTTCTAATTAATTCTGAAAAAAAGAACCAAATTTTATTCAATTCTATCGAGTTTGGTTTAAAAGTTTCTAAAAATTGAACCAGTATATTTTGTAATGGATGATTCTAAAAATAATAAATATTAGTAAAATGATTACTCGTATTATTGATTATTATAGTAATATTTTGATTTTCTTACCAAGTTATTAAATTTAATTAACAGATTTCTTTCATAAATTTTTAATAATGAACATGCTGATAAAAAAGTAAATGGATAATTTCTAGACGATGTACAGGCCCATTCACAAATCAATAAAATTTTCTCTTTGTCATCTTCTAATGATATATGGTTATCATTAAATATTTCTTGATATAATAATCTTAGATCATAACCAATATAAAATTTATCCAAAGACTTAATCAAATCTGAATAGTTTAAACCCTTATATCTTTGATTTAAAATATTGTTTGGAAATTGATTTTTGTTTTGGGATTGTTGCTGTTGCTGCTGTTGCTGAATTTTATTAATTTCAGAATAGTATTTAGAAATCCATTTAAACTCTGGTGAAACTGTAAATTTTAAATTCTATATTTAAAATATTATTAGTATTTTATTAAATAACTTTTTTTTTTGTATATAACAATAATAATAATATTTGCTTACATTTTGAAACATTAGTTGGTTATATTCGATTTTGTTTATTATGATTTGTGGATAAATCAAATAAAGTAATTCTTTAAAATTTTTAAAAGACATGAATGTATCGGGTAAATTCATAGAGATTTGTTTTGCTATAATTGAGAGCATGGAATATATTCTTTGGTTTGGTGGTGACATTTGTAAATTTAATTGAGTTGCTTGAGTAATTGGTTGTACTGGTTGAATTGGTTGTTGTGGTTGATGGTGCTTTGATGATGATGATACAGAAAGATGTTGTGGTGATGCTGTAATTTTTATTAATTTTTCGTATGCTTTAGTTAAAAACTTTAATGAGTGATATGTCGATAAAATAAGAGTATCTGAATATTGTAATAATAAGGACGATATTAAAACTGCTTCTTCTGGTCTATCGGTTTCATTTAGATGATCAATAAGCATCGATAAAAATAAATCTCTATTTAAAAGTCCCTCTGTAAAATTCCACTTTATTAATCTCTCAATATAAAGTATACCTGTATAGCTATTTGTGACTGCATTTGGCTGCTGTTGTTGTAATGGTTTTTTTGTATTGCTTTCAATTGTTGTATTTCTAATTAATGCAAATAAACTTTGAACTATAGTTTTTGTCCAATCATTTGAAGGCTCTACTGTTTTATGCTTTGGCTATAATATATTTGGTATTAGTAAAAAAAGAAAAAAAGGATTTTAAAATATAGTTAAAACTTACCATATTACCATATACAATTTTTGTATACCAAGTGGCCCTAACTAAAGGAACCTGATTATCTAAAAACATTTTCAATAAAGTCTCACCTTTGTAACCATGTGGTACAGATGATGCTAGTTTTTGTAATGGCTCATTACCTGCCAATTTCAATACCCAGCTCTCTCTATGACTTGCCGACCATGCCTTTTGCTCTGGTACTGCTCTTTTATTTGCATTTTTATTCATTGTAGGTAGATTTTGTTGAGTCTAAAAAAAAAATTGATTAATATTCTAAAGTTTAAAAATTATTGTTTAAAAAGTTAAAATTATTACCTTTTGGGTAGAATTCTTTTTCCATTCAACTTCATAAATTGATTGTAATAATTGTTCTTTTGCTTTTGGAAAATCTAAATTTTTAAATATTGCACTTGATGATTTAAATTCATCCTTTATAAAAAAAAAGTAATTAAAATTAGTAAAAATTCGTGGTAAATCAATATAAATATAAATCTATTATTTTTCTTACATGTTTAATAATTTCACAAAAACCTCCTAAAATAAAAGCTTGTGTTAATGTATCTTCCTCTGCATTTTCGTCTAAAGGATAAAAATCGGGTGGCCCCAAACCTGGACCTAAATCCTTTCTATCAGGTCTTTGTATTTCATATTTCTTCAAACCATTATTTCTATTTAATTGTGTTTGTGAGTGATATTGATGAATTGGTGGTTGACCTGGTCTCCTAATTTGTTGCTGCTGTTGTGTAATTGAAGCCTGTGGCTGTTGTTGCGCTGCTATTGGGACCTGCTGTGGTATAGATTGAATTGGTGGTTGCTGAACCTGCATAGGCTGTTGCTGTTGGTGTTGTTGTGGATTCATTTTTTATATCTTTAATTTATATATTGTTATTATTATTATTATTATTATATGGTATATGTATATATCTGATTTTTTTATATATTCTCTTCTTTTTTAACAAAATAAATAAGGAATTTAAATCATATCTAAAACTATAATAGTGTGAGTGTTTTGAATGAGTTTCTAAAGAATGAACTATACTGTATTGTTTATTATTTATTATTTATTATTATTTTAGGTAATTAATAAATAATTATGGTTATTATTATTATTATTATTATTATTATTATTATTATTATTATTATTATTGTTATTATAATCTTATTTTATATATAATTATTTTATGAATTATATTAAGACACACCATTAAGATTATTTCTATATTTTAAAACTAAGCATCTATTTGACCGTATGTATGTGTTTAAGATATAGAGGAAAAATATTTTAATTTGATGGTGTTGCTGAAAAAAAGGTAATAATTAATAAATTTATTTATAAAAAAAATAATAATAAAAAAAAATAATTAAATTTAAAAAAAATATAAAAAAATTTAAATTTTTTTTTTTTTTTTTTTTTCAATTTTTTTTAATTATTTTTTAAATTATTTATTTTTGTTCAACAAGATTGTTTTTAATAATTAAATTTCCTATTGAATTAAATAAAGAAATTGGACTGTAATGTATAATCGTTTATTTTTATAAAAAAATTTTAAATTTGGTGTGTTTTTTATATTTTTGTAATTACTTACAATAAATGTTTTTGTTTTCTATATTTTATTATATTCTATTTATTTATTATTATTAAATATAAAATAATCCCAATTATATTAATATAATTATAATAAAAGATAGATATAATATGATATTGCCCTTGTTTTTTTTTTTTTGTATCCAATCTGCAAAAAAAAAAAAAAAAAAAAGAAAAAAAATTTTATTTTTTAATTTTTTTTTTTAATTTTTTTAAAATATTTTGTGGGGGTGAATGTCAAGCCAAGCCATATTCGAATTTTATTTTTACTCTTGATAATGTGTTTATTATAATATTAATTAATTAAAATTTATTAATATTATTATAATTTTTTAGTTATTATGGATGAAAATGTATTAAAAAATATTCAAAATAATTATAACGATTTTCAAGACACATTAACAGAAATTAATTTTCAGTATGACCAATCAGAAAAATATTGGAATAGAATAATAGAATTGTTTGAACCATCCCCAAACGAAAGAAATAATGGTAATGAAAGTGCTTCATTATCTACATCAAACAGCAGTAGTGGCAAGAATGGTCAAATACTAATTAAAATTAAAGAGCCTATCGAATCTATCAAATCGATAGTAGAAGATGTAAATAACAAATTAAATAAAATGAACGATCTGTTGGAAATTTCGAAAAACACTCTTAATCAAATCAATAATTTAAATGATATCAATGTAAGTATTCTAAAAGCTATGTTTCAATTGGGAAATAATTTAAAATTACTAATGTTTTATTTATTAATTTAGTTAATTTCAAATAGAGGCAAGAGCAAATCAGAAATCTCGATTGTGGATCTAATCGAATTTATGACAATGATATTTAATAATTTCGAACAGGATTTCCAAATGAAGAAAACACTATTCGACGATATTAAAGAGTATATGGACCCATCCTCCAATCAATTGAACCCAAATCTGACAACAGACAAATTAAACACAACCATACCCATGTGGACTTTGAAACCTTTGGAAAATTTAAAAAATTCAAGTTATGTATCTGAAAGATTAAAGTTATTTAATTCAATTTTAAAACTTAATAAATAAAATATAAATAAACAAATAAGTTTTATATTGGTTAAAAGACAAAAAGAAAAGAAAAAAAGAAATATTAAATTACACAATTTGTCAATGGTTTTTTTATTATTATTATTATTATATGTTGTCTTCTTTCTTTAATTTTTTTGATGGGTGTTTAACACCTTTTGGGGAATCTTGTAATGTTCTAGCTTTACCTGTAATGGATGAATCTTCAGTATTTTGGTCATTAAAAATTTCGTTTATGTTTGTGTGGCTTTTTCTGCTGTTTGTTGTTTTATAAGTGCTTTGGAATAACTTTTCGCAATTATTTATATAATAAATGGAAGATGAACCTGTAAAACCAAATATAAACTCTTCATTCTTTAATTTTGATAAACCTAACCATCTAGAGTCTACTCTTAAACCTGTAAAATGATCGACACCACTTGATCCATTCCATTCACCTGCTAATACCTCTGAATCCAATCCACCTACATAACAGATTGAAGGATTTTTATTTGAAAATTGAATTGATGTAATTTCATATTTTAAACAATTCTTCCAATTACCACAATTGCTCCATTTCTTTGTATCAAAAACACTGACTGTTCTATTAGCACCACCTACTGCAATATATTCAAAGTTTGTTGAAATACCAATTGAATATAACCAATTAGTTGATGGCTAAATAATTAAAATACAATTAGTATTACAAAATAATAATACATATATATATATTTATTAATAAACACCTACGGTAAACTTTTGAATACATGAATTATTTGTTGATTGTCTTGGGTCATAAATTTTTAATTGATTAAATTCAGTAACAGCTAAAAGAGCGCTATTTGATTTTTCGTGATTAAAATATTGGATTTGGGTTGGATTTTGGATTAATTGAATAGATTGTGCTAATTGATCACCTTTAAAAATTTCGATTCTTTTTTGATAGAATTGAGTTCTTGCAAAAATAGATTGATCCGATGTATTGAATGACAAACCTGCCCAACCTAATTCTGTAAATCCATCACTTTCGCCCTTTGATGAATCAATTGTAAATGAATTTACTAAATCTGATTGATGATAGTCTGCAATCCAACAGCTACCACTTGAATCAATAGCTGATACTCTTTTATTATCCTCTGTTGATGAAATTGATTGGATTTCATGCTTTAATTTAGTTTCGTATAGTTTCTCTTCGACTGTGTCAATTTTAAATGGTGATGGTATACCTTTAATTTTAGAAAATATTTTTTTTTCAATTTTTGGTAAATCGACCTATTTATTAAAAATGTTTAATTTTTATATTAGTAAGTGATAAGTAATATATTCAAATAATAGATATAAACAATAATACTTACTTTAACTTTAATAATCTTATTTTCACTTGCCACTATCGATTCATTTTTGGTTAATACTAAAGATCTGTTGGAGTTTAATGAGGCTGGTGAGGTCTTGCCTAATGACTTAACCTTGGCTGTATAAATATCACAAGTTTCTTCCATTGTTTTTAATATATTTATAGTTTAAGTAAATAAATGAAAAAATGAAAAAATAATAAAAAAAAAAAAATTTTAAAAAAAAAAATTAAAAAATAAAAAAAAAAACGAAAAATAAAAAAAAAAAAATTAATTGAATACATTTTTGATTTAATTTATTAATTTATTTATTTATTTATTGTTGGGTTTCGTTCCAAAAAGATTTTAATGAACTAGATAAAACTGTAAATAGTACACCTGAATAAAAACCACTAAAGAATCCTTTGGTTTTGAAGAGGTCATTTATAACATAGATTGGGTTTGATTTTACAAAGTCGAATGAATCTTTTTCATCTTTTTCGTTTGTTGATGAGTTGATTAATTTTCTGCAATATTGGTTTGAAATATTTATAAATGGTGAAAAAATGGCAGAATTAAAGGCAATGGAAGCGATTTGGTTTGAGAGTACTAAATAGATGGCTTTTAAAAGTAATCTTTTAGAATCTGACATTTCATGATCTTGGTAATTGTCCACAAAGTATTCTGTGAGATAATTATTGACAAAATCTACAAAACGGTTTTGAATCATATTGATACCAACAAAATATACCAAGTTTGTAATGGTTTGTTTTGGTTTATTTTTTACAATTTCAAAAAGTGATACTTTTGGTGACTCTTGTTCAACAAATAACAAACTTGAGAAATAGTTGAAAATTGGAAAATCAATTTCGTATATTGTGACAAGGAATTTGTATCTTGTATCATTATCTTTAATAAATGTATTGGCTCCAAATAAATGAGCAATATTGATTAATGCACCACATCCAAATACTAAATAAGATTTACCAATATTTTTTAAAAAACTCTTGATTTGATCTGATTGAGTTGAAATTCTTTTGATTATCTGCAATGAGTTTTCTTTGCTGGATGTAGTAGCTTTTGTCTCAAATGCATTTAAAACAACTGATGCTAAGAAAAAATTATTTTTTTGGATATTTGGAAGTATTATTTCATTATAAAGTGACATTGTTGATATTTAAACAAATTCGAAAAAAAAAAAAAATTAATTTTTGAAAAAAAAATTTAAAATTAATTTTTGAAAAAAAAAAAAATAAAATTAATTTTGAAAAAAAAAAAAAAAATAAACAAATATATAAATGCGGATATTATTCCAAAATATTTGGTTTTGGTATTATTAAAATAATTAATTAAAACTTACATAAGAAAAATATCTTTTGAATAAAGTTTGAAATAAACAAATTTTATAAAGAAAAAAAAGATATGATTTGGTTATGGTTATTATAATTAAACTTTTTAGCTCATAAAGACGATTCAAAAAAAAAATCTTCAAAAATTAAAAGAAAAATAAAAAAAAAAAAATAAAAAAATAAAAAAAAAATAAAAAAATAAAAAAAATAAAAAAAAATAAAAAAAAAAAAATTTATTTTTTTTTTTAATTTTTATTTCTTTTACACTAATTGATCAAAAAAAAAAAAAAAATAAACTTTCATTTTTTTTTGCTATTCAAAATTTTTTTTTAATAATTATTAAAAAAACACCCACACACACACATCACCAAACATATCACTACACACATATACATCTATTTATTATACATACACAACCCACCACCAAAAAAGTTTTTTTTATTATAAATAAACACAAAAAAAATACACATAAATCAACGATACCCCAGTCAATAATTTATATTTTTAAATTAATCTCATCCTCTTTAAATAATAGTTTTAATTATACAATTTTACAATACAATTTTACAATACAATAATATAATAATACAATACAATAATATAACAATAAATAAATAAATAAATAAATAAATAAATAAATAAATAAATAATGGCGGAAACATTTATAAATAAAACTATTGAAACCAATCAAAGATTTATGAAAAAACAACAACAATATGCAGAAACTATTACACAAGTCATTAAAACATGTTTAGAAGATCATAGTATAAATAAAATAAATTCATTAAAAACTTTATTACCAGCAATAGAAGAGGTTGTAGTAAAGTAAATATCTTTATTCATTCATTATACACTATTATGATAAATTAGTTTTAAATATTAATATGTTTATCAATTAAAAACACTTTAGGGAATCACCAATTTGTGGATATTTAATGTATATATTGGCAGATAGCTGTAGAAAATGTAATTTATATGAAGATTCAATTCATTTTGGTAATCAATCTTTACACATTAGAGAAATATTATATGGAGAAGATAGTAATGAAGTTTGTATATGTTTGGATTTACTATCATTATCAATGTTAGAGTTTTATCAGTATGAACAATCATCTAAAGTATTTTTAAGATCATTCAAAGGTAAAGCGTTGGGTGGTTACACTACGTTTTCACAATTAGTTTTAGATATCAATAAATTTATAGTTTCAATTACAGAGCAATCAAGTGTACTAAAAAAGAAATTGCAACTACAACAACAAAAACAACAATTTAAAGTCAATGATATCCTTATCAATACATTAGTGGAATGCAATCAATGTTTACAAAAAATTTATTTTGAATCCCTCAAAGATACAAGCAACCAATCACAAGAAAGAACTGCTGAAATTAGAAAAGCACTCATTTCATTATCAATGGAACAGTCAAAATTACAATTGAATGATAAAAAGTATTTAAACGCAATAAAAACATATCAAGAAATTTTAAAAATTTTAAATAATTCAGGTTTAAAGTAAGTTTTGGTTATTTATTTTTATATATATTATCAATGTTTTATATTAATATATATTTCTTTTTTTAGGGAAGAAAAATTAATTTATGAATCATTAGTTTTAACCTATGTAAAAATTGAAAAATATGATCAAGTTAAAAGTACAATTGATTCATTTATACAAATGGGAGTCAAATGTTATAAAGTACCATCGATCGATATAGCATCAGTATTATGGTTCAGTGGTAAAGTGTTGGAAGATCAATCGGATAGAGCATCACAAACAAAGCTTTGTGATCTAGTAGACGCATTACGTTATTATCTCTGTACATTTAAAATATCAAGAGAAATTGGTGGAGTTACCATTGGTGAAGAGTCAACAGCAGTAGCCCAAAAGAAAATTCGTGAAAAAATCGAAACTATTCTCTACAACAATCGTCCATTAAAGCCAGAGGAGGTTTTAACATTAGTAGATGGAATGATCCGATCGACCACTACAGATTTCCTTTTAAATGGTTCAAAAAGTCAAAATTGGTTATTAAAGTATGTCTATCCAGATTTTATGGCAGAAGATGCGCTTCGTGAAAAATTCGATCAATTACCCACTAAAACTGGTTTCCTTTTCAAGATGAATGGTTTAATGAAGAGTTGGAAAACTCGTTGGTTCTCTGTTGAGCGTGATCTTTTATCCTACTATAAATACAACAACGATCCAAAACCTCAAGGAGAATTACAAATACTCGAGATTAAATCTATCGAAATTTTACCAAAAGATAAAAAATTCAAACCTTATGTCCATTGTTTCCAATTGGTTCATCCCAAACACACTCTAATATTAGCTGCTGAAACTGAAGAGGTTATGAAGGATTGGGTAAATATTTTAAATAAAGCAAAGCAATACTGGGAAGATTGGTCAAATATCTCTTTAAGTCTTTAAGTCTCAAGTAAATGAAAATAAAAAAATAATAATAGAAACCATCTAATAATCTAATCTAAAAAAAAAAACTCAAATAAATAATTGTAGCAATATTGTAAAAAAAATAAAATAAATTAAACATTTATGTGACCAAAATAAAAAAACTAATTATTATATAATTTCTATTTACAAAGATATTTATTTACATTTTATTTATTATTATTATTATATTATTATATTATTATGTATTATATTTTAAATAATTTATTATAGTTTTTAATAAATTCTCTATTTTTTTTTATATTTGAACGTGTTACAATTGAGATTTTGGTGATGATTGGCTTTGATTTTGGTTTTGGCTTTTGTGGGGATACCGATGATGTATTATTATCACTGCAGTTATTTGTTTGTGGTTCTTCTTTGACATTGTAATTAAAGTTGTTTAAAATTGGATTTATTTTACTTGAACGTGTAATGATAGCAATTTTGGTAGGAATTAATGTGGTGGTTACATTTGGCTCTTTTTTAATTTTTGGAATATCTTTGGATTTTAAAACCTTTTTTCTAATATTCATATTATTTGATGTTTTTCTACAATTTGATGAACCATAAAGAACTTGATTTAAATTGCATAATTGAACTCTATTTCTTTTTTGTAAGTGACTTGATCTTCTAGTAATAATTCTAACCATTTTTGATTTAATATAGTTTTTTTTATTTATTAATATTAAGTATATATTTATTTTGTTTATTTTTTAGTTTGTTAATTAATGAAATAACAGCATTGAGAATCCATCATTTTATAGTTTTTTTTATTAAAAAATTTTTTTAAGAAATAATTTTAAATTTTATTTTTAGAGGAAATTTTAAAATTTTTTAAAAAAAAGTTTTTATGTGGAATTAAAAAAAAAATAAGAGAATAATAATTCTCTCGAATTGTAAAATTATAAAGTTATCCGGTGGTTATGTATTATAAACATTACTGGTTAATTTAAATCATTTGCTTTAAAAATCTTCACTTAAAAAAAAAAAAAAAAAATAATAAATAAATAAAATAATAAAATTTTGGATTTAAAATAAATAAATAAATAAATAAATGAGTAAAGAGTTAAAATAATTATAAATATAAATGTACACTAGTGTATTTGTTTATTTTTTATTTATTAAGAAAGATTTATTCACGAATTATGAATAATTTATTTCCCATTTTATTATCTCTTATTTCCATATCTTAATTAGATTGATTGTTCTTTTTGATAATGCATTGAGGTTTATTGAACAGTTCTACTTCTTCATATGTTCCAATTTATTTATTATTTTTAAAAATGGTTTTTAAATAAATTTTTGTTTAAAAAATAAAAAATAGAAAATTTTTTTTTTTTTTTTTTTTTAATTATTATTAATTATTGATGATAAGAAATTTTTTGTTTCCTCTACCCCATAATGAAACCATTATCTAATATTTCTTATAATATTATTTGAATAATAAAATTGAACAATTATAGTACTCAAGGAATGAATATTAAAATAAAAAAATATAGTTATTATACTTTCCTTAAAGTGGAGTTTTTAAATTTAATAATAAAAACTATTATTATAAAATCTATAGTGGCAATATTAGTTAAAAATTATTATTATTTTAATTTAAAAATGATGTCGC